CTTATTTTCAAATATAATTGTGCAAAGTTTTATTTAAATATTTTAGTATTTTAAAAAAGTAAATCAGAGCTAAAAAAATACAAAAACGCAGGCAAATTTGCCTGTGTTGGTCTACATATTAAGGGATAGGATTCCAGGTTACAAGTATGGTAACTGATCATCACAACACACCCGATCCATTCCTGGACCTCACCCAAGACAACCCCTAGAGCTTGGTCCAACAATTACCTACTACTAACAATTCTATATAACAAATCCAATTAAAAGAAGATATAGACAATCACATGGATACCCAATCTAATACAACTACAGAATCTTTCACTCTTCCAAAGTAATGATGTGAACCGGTTAGGCCATAATCGGGTAACCGAACTGAACTGAAAAAAATTAGGTAACCGGTTAAGCAAATGCTTAACCGGTTAACCCGGTTATTCGGTTGACTCGATATAATCAGTTGACCCTGATATAATCGGTTGACCCAGATATAATCGGCTGACCTGATATAATCGGTTGACCCAATATAATCGGTTGACCGAAATAATCGGTTGACATCAATTTTTGTGGCTTAGATATGTAAAGATTTTTTTTTATTTTTTTAATTCGCGAATAAAAGGATGATCATGATCTATATTTCTATATTGTAGGTCTTTGTAGGTTTGAAACTTTGTTAAATTATCTTGAAGCACGAATAAATCTTCATAGATACGTAGATACGTAAGATAATATATAAATCCTTTTTTTTTTTTTTTTTTTTTTTTTTAATTCTTTGACAGTCTTGTCGGTGCTCAAATACAAATTATATTACTATTAGACTAAAAACAAAGTTTCGATTTCTAATATTATCTAATTAAAAATTGCAAGCCCGGCATCACCCGGCTACATCACGTGCGCCCAGATGCGACTTGTCACACCAACTCACATGTGGGTTGGAAGACCTTGTCAGCTCTATCAAGAACTAAACCTAAAAGAGGTTGAACCATTCTCAACCTATTCAGCAACACCCTCCTCAAAAACTGCATAACTTCTGCTTTCTTCGCCTTACTTGTTGACTCAACTATACCGCTCGTCTCCCCTTTACTCTTGTTATTCTCGACTCTCGATGTTAAACTTTTATCGGTAACGGCACTCTCTTTGACAGTGCTTTTCGGGTTACTTCTCTTCATCGCTGTATCTATACCGATTTCCTTTTCCCACTCAGCAACTGCATTACATCTGATTCGCCAAATTTCATCGAGAAAACTACTTTCTACAAGTGCTGCGTAATTACCAAGTGCCAGGTTTACAATCCTTTTAGGTAGCTCCAAACCTAACAATTCTGCCACCGCATCGTCGGGTATAAGCCCTCTTATGTAGTCTCTTCTCCGCTTGAACCTCTTCTCAGTTGTAGCACCGCCAATTACCAGACCGAACCTATCAACAGATATTGTTTGCTTATGTGCATGGTCTAACTTCTTCCATGCGAGTAGGCATGCAACCTTCTCTACAATATCCCAGTAATTGGTATACCCCGTACACACTACTAGATGGTTAGAATCTTCTTTTGCACACTTGCAACTTATACATGTATCGTCTGCATATACTTCAGGTTTTCTTCTCCTCAGTACTGTCAGAACTGGTAAACTGCCATTTATGCACTTAATTCGGAAAGCTATCTTTCTGCTAGCTATGTGTGACTTGCATCTAATTCTAGTTGCTTTTTTATTCTGACACCATAAAGCCTTCTAGCTATGATTTGAGTCTGCTTCATACTTATATGACTTGATAGCATTTGAATTGTGCCACTCTGCACCAGTTTTGAAACTCATCAATGTCTTGATCAGTTTTCTTGTTGTAACTTCTACTGGTGTCTCGTTGAGGAATTTTTTATTTTTATTATACAAAAATAATTTATATATTATATCTAATTTTTAAATTTAATTAATTAATTATTAAAATACAATATATAAAGAACAATATCTAATTAATTTTAATTTATATTTATATATTTTGCTAATATTATAATTTATAGATTATATTTTTAAGAGTAGGGTGTTTGCAAATCAATTTTTATAGTAATCATATATAAATTATATGATTGACCAATCAGAATTGTAAACACTCCAGATTTAACCAATCAGAACTAGCAATTCATGTATGATCTAACAAAATTTTAGATTATTTAACTTTTTTTATCTATATATAAACATGAATATTTTTAAATAATACAAGGTATTGTTACAAAGTAGATTGTAACACAGAGTAATACTAGCATAGCATAGTATAGAAAAATATTTTAGTATTGTATTATTTATTATATTATTATTATATCATAGTATTATAGTTTTTTTTTTTTTGGTATTAAAGGTGATCTCTTTGGTCATAACTTTTTATTAGAAGTTAAGTTTCAGTTATAATGACAGTACAACTAGCCACATGTATAACTTTTGGTTATCTATTTAAGTAGTCTGCCTATTTTAAGTTCTATACTAGCCACCATACCTGCAATCTAACTAGAAGATTACCTATTTAAACTCTCTGGTTCTTACAAACGAGGGTATGACTAGCCACACATGCAACTTTTGGTTGTCTATTTTAAATAGTTCACCTTAGATTCTACACTAGCTGCTAACTTGCAACCTGACTAGGGAGTTACCTATTTAAACCCTCTGATTATAATCTAATTTCACTTGGTGAGATCTTCTAACTTAGTTACCTAAATTTCGTTTGTGCTTTAGAACTTACCAACTTGGTCTATCCTCGAGGTAAACCTACCAGAGCCTTCCATATCCCATTTTTAGCTAACTCGGTACTATAGTTGCCAAGGCTCCCACTCACAGTTGAGATTACCCCCATTTAACTACTACATCCTTATAAGATTTGCTTCAACCCCAGCACCTCCATTTGGACTTTCTCTTTTCTTCAGATTCTTAACCGGTCTTTCCCTTACTTCCAGCCGGTGACCTGGAAGAGTTGGTCTCCCCAGGCATTAGATGCCCTATGGGTATTCTTCTCTTAGTATATGCTTCTGAAGCATATGTCTTTTTCTTCCAGTTTTGGTAACCTGGCGGTTCAGCTAGTATGTCCCCTCATTTAAGAACCTGGTCACTTGGTTCTCTAGTCTTAGTTTCTGGTTTCAAGTTCAGTCTTCTTGTAGCACTATTGAAAGTTTTCATTACCTCCTTACTTGGGACTTTCCAAACAGATTTCGATCATTGCAGCTTCTTGGCCTTTTATGTGACAAAGCTCCTATGTAAACATGGTATTACTAAGATTACAGGTTCTGGAACCCAACTGATCGACCATGACTATTACCATATCACAGGCTTATTTTTTAAAAATGTCATCTATAGGATTCGAACTTTGGACCTGTCGCTTAGTAGGGTGATGACTAGACCACTTCACTAAGCCACCACACCCCATCATAGTATTATAGTTATTATTATTATTATTATATTATTATTATTAGTATTAGATTATTAGTTATAGTTAGTTATATCTAGAATAGAGAAGATTCTATTAGGTAATAGAATAAAGCACAGTAATACTGCGGCTAAGTAAAATAGTATGCTACACAAAGTGCCTCCAGGGTGCTTCTACACAAAGTACTTCTATGTGCCTTTACACAAAGTGTCTCTATACAAAGTGCTTCTGAGTACTTCTACACAAAGTGCCTCTAAGTGCCTCTACACAAAGTATCTCTGAGTGCCTCTACACAAAGTGCCTTTGAGTGCCTCTATACAAAG